GCGTAGTGAGGAGAAGGGCGGTTTAAGAAGATTTGCAGGTAGACTTTATATTTACAGTTTGGAAATTAAAATGGCGGCTAAAATTCAGTGTAAGTAAATACAAGGTAATGCATATAGAGAAAATAAATTCTTATTCTTATTCTTCTGTGGACAGTTGCTTTTAATCACAGCTGCAGAAAGAAAACTGGGCTAGGTGAACCTTCTGGTCTGAACTGGAGGAGCTGTTTAGTTGGGAATGCAGATAGCTACTCAACAGGCAGCTACGTGACATCTGCTAAACCCGAGGAGCTAAACGATACCCGAGCTGGCTTTAAATGAGCTACCTCGGATGCCAGTGGCAGCCTGTCCTCTAGCTGCACAGAGAGCTCATCCTCTCAGTGGCTTCAATTAGCCTGTGCTGAGTTTCTTGCTGTCATCACGGGGATGTTCCCAATGCTAAGCTAGTTTATAGAAAAGTATTGCCATGCTACACTACTATTTGCTGTGTGGGCAAACCTGCTGTCTAAGTAGGCATGGTGATGCACCAATTGTTTTGGCGAAGTCTACAAATATGAAATTCCTAAATTCTCAAAAGCTGAAAGAAAGGATTTTAACTTCAACTCTCAGTTTGTTTCCGTTTTCTATTTATCCATTTCAAAAGTTTAATAACTTTTTCTGAGTGTCAGCTCTAGTATATTTAGCTTGGGGTCTGCAAATCATTAGAATTATTATTTACTTTTTTTTTGGTTCATGCATCACTGTCAGCAATAGCAAAGATATGCAGCCAGAACTGATGCTGTGTCAAGAATAGACTCCAGTGTATTATCTTTTAACTGTGATAGCTTTGAAGATCTAATATCACTGAAAATTAGTAAATAGCTATTTATATCACTGAAGTCAGTAGTTCTGACTCAGAGTGTCCACTAAGGAAATGAACTTTGAGTAATAGGATTTTTAAAAAAATGTTGTCACTCTTTATCTTAACTACACTTCAAAAAGAAATGATGTCTGTTGTAGAAATGAAAATATTATATAATGTCATTACCAACTAATGAAGAATGTTGCGAAGTATTTATGTAAATTAATATTACTGCACATTTTAATCATGTGATTCTCGGGGTCTCCAGTTGGGGGCACTAGACAAACATAGAAACATGGCCAACATCAATAAGATGCGTACCCAGTCCCGTATTCCCCTGAAAGGTGGAAAAAAAAACCAAAACAAACACAACAACAAACCAAGAAAAATAGATGAGAGAGACAGTTGTCATTCTGGATTTAGGAATTTTTCAAGATGAAGCAGATCTCGTTTTCAAAACTCTCGTGCTACTAACAAACAACTGTACTGTTTATTTTCATTACCCAGAAATCATCCAGTTTCTTTTGCAAAACTAAGAATCAGTGATTTTAAAACTGTCCTCTTAATTAATAACTTCAAATTCTAATGAGCCCAGGTAGAAAAGTTATTGTAAATTTCAATTTGTTACTATTCAGCTTCATTAAACTTTTCCAGCCCAGCATAAGTCATTGGCATAAGTTCTACCTACCTTCTGTATTGCTATTTATTCACTTACACAAAAAGAAAACCTAGAAAAGAGTAGAAGATGCTCCTTATTAAGCCTAGCATGCTTTAAGGTCTGCATAGGTCTGTAGACACACAGATTTAGCATCTAAAACAAGACCTAAGGAGGAGATACAACGTGCTATTTTGTTCAAGGAATATCAGTTACGCTTCTAGGAACATGTCAGAGACCAATGGTGGTTTCATGGCTTCAACTCACACCATTTGAAGAAAATATTATAAAATACTAGTTCAGGAATTCACAGCCCTAATTTTGTTGATAAGGTTTTCTAAAAGAGGCCAGGCGGGTGATTTATAAATTTACCAAATTAAAAGTGAATCAGAAATTCAAAATTAAAATTTGATAGCAGCTATAGGAGAATGCATGAAAGGGTGAATATACATATTGGGACTGCACATCTGTAAGTGAACGTACTGATAAGGAAAGTAAGCCTTTAACATTGACAGGCTCATAGTAGCCTAGATCTTCCTTCCACCTGATACTTTTAACTGGACTTTGCAATAGCGCAGTAGATTTCCTGGTCCCTGGAGCTCATGGCCTTCTGTCTGACCTTCGTATTACAAGTTGGGACTACTTGCAAAGAATTGAAGCCAGAAGTTTTCATCCACATCACCACCTGTCAAAACACAGGGACTTCTGTCTGTAGATACTTCGTTTTGGAAAGGTGAGGTAGAACATTTTGTTCATTTCTCCTCATGCTTCTCCAAGCACACACCCATGCATGCACACACCAACACACAGACAAACAGAGAAACAAACCAAAGCCCTAACCATGCTATACTACTTTAGTATCTTCCACGTAACCATAGAAAGCAACCTATAGATATTAAAGCTTCACAGCAGCAAAAGCATTAAACCCAGAAATCAGAAAGCTGAAAATAACTATCAGCTGGTTGGTTGCAAGATTAGGAAAGGTTCAGTCCTTTAATCTAAGCCCTAGGCCACAAATAAGAAATTAGCCTGGAATTCATGATCAACCTTGAAATAACAAAACTTTGTTCATACTTTGATAAGCAGCAAAGAGTACCAATTTCACTGTATAAGAAGCTTATTGTTGCAAAACTATAAAACGTGCTTGCTTTTTAATATCTCAGTGTTGTTTTAAGAAAATGAAGTTGCTCCTGGACCTCGAAACTCAGAATAAATTAAATGACACATGAATAAATATATATTAATTGTTTTTTATTAAAGTATCAAAACAAGCTTGAGAATATAAAACAAACTGCTTTTAATGCATTTTAAAGGTTCTCCTGAATAAAGTATGCTTTTAAGAAACTCATGCAACATACTGCTCCTGTCTAGCTGTTTAAATACTCTTTTTCTGGGCACAGTCAAACGGACTTGAGTACCATCATTTCTAGAGTAGCGTGCAGGAGCACGCATGCACACACACATACAAGCAGTAGAAAGCAGCTATGACTGCACATATGAAGAAATAAAAATAGATTATCTTCTGACAATAGTAGTGGTACCATATTAACATTTGGCATGCTATGCAAATAACATCAAGCAACAAAAGCATGACGCCTGCGTCACCAGTGATACGGTTAAAAGCAACCATACAAATTCTCTAAGGGAGACACATGAGTTCTGTCATTATATTCTAGTGTCTGTGGTAACACTTTATAACAGTATAGGAGGCAAACAATTTCGTCTGCTCGTATTTGATGCGCAAGAGGCAAAGCCAAGGTGTACAATACCAGGATGATGCCTTGGTTTTGTATTTCCACATTACAGAAGTCAAATACCAATGAACATCGTTTGACAAGTTTATTGTAACACATTTCAAGTATATCCATTCTCTGATAAACAGCTGGCCCAATTCCCTGTGGAATTTGCCCTCTAAGCCAGGAAAGTCAAAGCAGAGCCTCCAAACTCTGCCTACAGGGCATGAATAAAACTCTCATTGAAGTCAATGGAAGCTCCTTCCAACATGCAGAAAGACAATGGATTTTTCAGGACAGAATCAGACCTTGTATGCCATCTTTGTAGTACATTCACTTTTCAGATACATGAAGTACATATCTTTAAAATGTGATACAGGACATTATAATATATCCAGATCTTAGGAAAATGTACTAAGAAGTTCTGTTGCAGAATATAATGATCATATAAGGATCAGGTATGATATCTGATAGACTCATCTGGGACTTGCAGAGTAAGAAGCTTATGGCTGAGGTATCTTTAATTTTACCCTTTAGAACAAAAACACAATTTCAGCACTGTGTAACTGGTGTAAAATATTATGTACCGTAAGCTCCATTCTTATTGTCTGTTTCACGTAAATTGTGACATTGAGAAGCTAGACACCACTGATGGAGGTACAGAGATTTGGAAGGTATAATCTCTGCACCCAGTTGTTCAAGATCCTCAGTGCCTCATCTGTGGAAAAAGATGAGGGGTAAGTGTTTTCAATAGTGGTGTCTCAAATACAACTGGTGAAGTTTAGGAACATATAATATTAAACACCAAGAGATAGGAGTAAAAAGACAGCGCAACACTTGTGTTTTCAGTTTTATCTTGCTTGCAGTATTTATTAACTTTACTCATGATGATATTAGTGATAAATAAGGATAATATTTTCTTTTACAAAAAACTGTAAGGATATATTTTATAGGATTAAACAATCTGAGAATTTCACAGAAACATCAGAATTTAAACTCTCATAGCTCCAACTGTTTTGTCCAGCAGCGTATCTACCAGTTCAAAAACATCTATGGTTAGTATTTAATAAAAAATAAAAACAATTATTCACGACATCAAAACTCTTGCCCCCTTTAGATTCTAAGTAACACTTTTGATTGACTGTAGTTGCCACCCAAACATAAAATAAAAGTAGCCGCAATCATAATTTTTCCCTCCGGATCACCTGGCAAAAGGAAGTAATCCTGACCAGGACGGAAAAAGCTTTGTCAAGCTCTTACGCTTATAAGAGCTATCTGCATAAGCAGACCAACTGAAGTCCATAGAACCTCTTCTGTGAGTGAGGGTTAATAGCATTAATTAAGGCTTGTAAGATTAGATTCCACATGTTTTTTGCTTTTTTTTTTTTTAACATTTCGTGATTCATGAGCCTGGGATTCAGTGTTGCAGTTCTTTACTCAGGCAAAACCTGTGTTGATATCCCTCCATAGTTAGTTTCCTTTTTCCAGTGGGTCCAATTCACCAAGTGGTGGTACTAGCTGCTCTTCAGCAACTCAAGGAAAAAATTGTAGTCCCCAAGGAATAGTAGGTGGGGTTCCAGCTCATAAAATACAAACTTAGCTACATGGACTTTTTGCAAGAACCATTCCTTTGTCACACCTACTAGGCTTTTCAAATTCAGTCTCTGAGATGAGTCATTGAAAAAATCCACACAAGTGTTGTGAATAAATGACAAAGCTTAGTTGGAACTAAAGGCTTTTTGTGTGTTTGTGTATGTGTGTGTTAGGTTAGAATGCAGTGTTATGTATCACTACATTCTGCCAGAAATCATCCTCCTGGAAACTTCAAAACTTTAAAAATACTCTGTCTGCTTCCCCTACCAGCAACAAGGAAAAGTAGTGTCCATCCAGCACAGCTGTCTGTACCATGTGCATCATCGGAAGTCATAGTGTTCTAGCACAAACGTTGTGAGTGCAGATACTGTATACTAGCAGAGAGCTAAAACTTCTGAAGCTGTTGTCTGTAGCTCCTAGGAACAGCAAGTATGACAGGTGCAAAACCTATATTTGAGGCAGAAGACTCTTCGATTTGATTGAGACCAGATCTTCCAAGGGGAAGAATCACTGTCAAGCCAAAATGATTCTTTCCACTTCAGAAAGCAATCTGCCCTTCCTAAAGGCTCTTGACTAATAGAATCCTACACATTATGTCAGATCCTCCATGGATTCTGGTAGTTGTTAAAAACACTATAAGTATTTCCATGTTTGCCATGTCACTTAACCTTGTAACGTGCCTTCTTTGATCTGTTGAATAAAGAGATTCCTTTCATCTTCAGGTGTCCTTCCGTTTTGTGCCCGAACTATACAAGTGGGCCTGTGAAGATTTAGCATGTATATCAAATGCTGCTTCTCGTTCTTTAGCTCTTCAATCTGGGCTTTTAATTCTGCATTGATAGTTTCCAGCTTTTCTGATTCCTAGTCACAAAGAACAGACAGAACTATTAGGCTGAGCAGTTCAAACAGTTAATTGCAATGTTTGTCTAATAGTTGCAGTCTTTTATTGCTGAGAAAGCATATGGCTCGCAGAGAAAGAAATTGCATGTTCTTAGTGTCCTGTAATGATGAAACCATACATCTCCCAGTCAATAACAGTCTAAAAACCAAATTGTCAGTTGCCTCCTTTGGCCTTTAGAGAAGCGTAGCGGAAGTTGAAAAGCCAAATTCAGACTTGATGATGACAGGTATCTAAAGCATTATTGCTGTCTTCTGCAAAATTATTTTGAACTTTTTGGGTCAAAAATTGACCCAAGATTATCTACGCTTCTTATTAACTCACTGGAACATCATGTCACATATCTGTAAACCCATGTTAAGCTAACAAAGTGAGGACATAGCTTTTTTTCCCCAACCACTGGATATAGGAACAAAGACAGGTTGATGCCTGATGCTGCTGTAATATAGTTTTATATCACGGCAGAGCAGGTGAAGACACTACTGGGATCTTAGGACAGAGACTTCAGGGCTAAGTTACTATGCCACGTGTTTCACAAAGAAGTCAGAGATTACTCGTTGGTGTTTGTAGGCTCTTGGTCTCCACAATGGATCTTATACGAAATGAGATTTTACTTCTTTTTGTGTTCAATGTACACATTCAAGTTCATATTATCCCCATAGACAAGACTGACTCCTGAAACAGTAATGTCTTTTCACTCCTGCCATGCCTTTACATTTTCCAGTTTTAACCAGGTTTGATTTCATGTATAGCATGTTCATTTTTTTGTAACTAATGTTTTGAAGGGTTTACAGAGTTTTGCATGACATCTTTCTGTATTTCCTACTACAACAGTGCCCTGTGCTATCTTTTCAGATCCTGGCAGGATGATAGATTAAGAACAATTCAAGCCAGTCACTTACTTTCTGCAAACATTCTGTTTTTTCCTTCTTTTTGTTTCGACACTTTGCAGCAGCAATTTTATTCCTTTCCCTTCTTCTCTTTTTTCTTTCATCCTCTTCAGGAGAAAACTATCCCATAAAACAGATAGATACACACAGTCCATTAGATGTTGTAAATACTTGACCTGTATTTTGATAACTTCTGCATTTTTAAGAGCAATGTGGATAGTGTTGTCAGTGCTCGCATCATGAGTTACATAAGGACGTGATTCTGACCTTGCTTGCTATACAGTAAAAACAGTAGTGACTCCATTAGAATTGTCAATAAAACCTGACCGGAGTTTAGATGGATGTAATCCATGTGATGGCTCATTTTAAATCAATGATACTGAAAAGAACTTGCCAAGTGTCTCCCCAGGTTGAGTCCTACACCTCCATCTCTTCTCCACTTCCCAAGGAGGAAAAGAAGCAAAGACATGGGAAGCAGAGTGAGGACGCGGCATGAATGAGGCATTGAGAGTGCAGCGAACTAAAGGCAGCACTGAAAAGGGGATATTAACACACTCCTTCAAGCTCTGTTTTGCTTCCTAAGGAGGCTTGGACCAAGGTGTAGCTATTTCCCAAACAACTTATTTCTCCACTTTATAAGTATTTTTCATGGAGACTGTTATCTTAAAGTAAAAACCTAGTGTAGACATAGCATGACTGTGTTTACCTCAGTGTAGCCCACGTGGGTCCTACTGCTCTGTCCTCACTGAACTAAAGCTGCAGTGACTTATTCCAAGTTTAGCCACAAGTAGGCAGGGAAACCAGATTAGTGCTTGCTCTAATCTCTGTAAAACATTGTCCTTAGTTCATCATCAAAAATAAAAAACCCAACTATAGGTTTCAATGGAGATGAGAAATACTAGAGGGTTTCCCAGAAGCACTTCACAAAAAGCCGAGCAGCAGGCTTAAAAGGGTCAAATATGGTGGAGAGGGTTGTCTGTAGTTGATACAGTTACTGGTCTTCTGGTGAAGCTTTTTTAGAGAATTAATCATTCACACTGAAATGCTATTTAAAGAGCCATACCTCTGTTTTCATGATTGATGTTTCAATTGGCCTTTCAGAAACTGTCACCGTGTCCAGTGTAGAAGACATCCTGTGGGAAGGACGCTTATTCTGAATGGCGAACCTCAGTTCCTCTTTCACCAGTGGGGTTAAATTTGTGAAATCATCAAACCCCAGTGACCCTGCAGGGGACAAAGTGGGAACAATTGCGGAGGCGCTGACTTCTAATGCAGATACCTGGCCTGAGTGTTGGACCATCATTTTGCTGAAAGGTAAAAAGAGATAATAATAATAGTCTTTCAACAATTTTAGAAACATAAATATAATCTCCTAGAGGTGTATTTTGTAATGTAAACTAATACCGTATTTCTTGCATTGCTTCAGTCCCCATTCCCCATCTACCCAAATCTCTCACTGAAGTCAAGCAGTTAAAAATTTGATCACTAGTAAAAATTTCTACTTTAGGTCAACTTTAAGTTGGTATTTAAAAATAATAATAGTATTAGTGCATCATGCAATATCTAGGTCTCTCTGAAACTTAATATAGAAAAAAAATGTAGATATTTATGTATACTTTGAAGTTTTAAACTGGTAATGTGTGGCAGTTGAGAATCAAGTGAATAGGAAGAGAAAGAAAATAAGGAGCAAAGATCAGAAAGTAAAGAAATACTATTACTATTTAAAGCACAGAAGGAGTTTAAGAGTATCTCCATCCTCAGAGCTATACCACCACAAAATTCCAGCCTCAAATGGAGAGAGTGTACCTTGATCTCAACTAGATTTAGGCAAAGCTCAAAGAATTCTACTAGAAGCTGAGGTTTGCTAACTAAGACAGGATCTGTCACAAAATTATCTGCTCAGTTTTACACAGAGTTGTAGATCTGGCTATAAACTCCTGAAAAACAGTTCACAATAAGAGCTGCAGAAAGGTGAAAGTCTATACATACTCTGGGGCTTCAAAGCACAGGCCGAGTTAGAGGGATTGAGTCATGAAAAACGTGAAGCCATTTGTTTCATTCCTTTGCTCTTGTAAAATCTGAAACTGTCCTCATGTGCCCTCAACAAGAGGTTTGAAATTCTTAAATATTTATGGTCAGATCTCCTGCTGATATAAAACAGTGTGACTGAAGAGACTTCAGAGGAATTATGCAAATAGACACCCATGGAGGAACCTAATTTCTAGTAGTTTTCCGAAGAAAATGAACCTACTCAACAGTGCTCTCTACCTTCCTCTTTTAGTCATTCTTACTAATTTTTTAGCCAATTTTGCAGGGAGAGAGGCCCCCTATGTGCTTTGTGAAAACTAGTGACCCCACTGAGGAAGAAAGAGGCAAAACTCAGCAGTCAACCGTCCAACCATCATGGACAACCTAGCTAGCCAATGCACACAGTTCTGCACAACACAAACCATCTGTCACCCACAAGAGGTGAGATAAGAGGTCTGGAAGAAAGCTGAGCGCTTTTTGTGGGTGGCCCAAGGGACAAAAGGCGCAAATCCATAAGAAAACAGATTGTATTACTTCCCTTATTCAGAAAGTGGCTTCTCTTAAATTGGAATTTACCGTGTTGGTTTTCCAACTTTCTTTGGTACACCAAAGAGTTTGGTTTGTTTTTTATTAATAGCTGTACTGGTAATTACAGCATATGTTCTCTATTCTTGATTAGAACTGTAATAATTATAGCAAAGTTGATTATAATTAACTTAGCCCAGGTAAACAAATAATTGCGTCAGGGTAGCACTGTGGGTAAGTTAAATTTCCACATGTTCAACCCAGAATTGCGGTTCCCTTTACACTACTTCTGTAATCCAGCAAGAAATGTTTGAGGTCACGTGCCTTGACAAGAAGACAGATTTTACTCAGAGATATCTAAAAATACACTGTAAATCCACACTGGCACACATTAGAGTAGAATCTTGTTCATCGCTAAGCGAGGTAAATATAAAAATGTGAGGACAGCAAATTGCCAGTTGGCAGAAAATGCCATGTCCAGCTGCAGAGACTTCTTCACTTCTTCCTCATCCAGTGACCACAGAAGAGCTGAAGATTTCCCAGAATCTGGGGGTGAAATCCTGAAGAGGACTTTTTCTGTTGACCTCAGTGGGGCCAGGATTTCACCCATAGTTATTAAAGATGAGGAAATTATTTGAAACAATTTGTTATTCAGAAAGACCTTGGGAAATTTATGTAATTCTCTTCAGAATGCCCCTGCTCATGAGTCACATTTAACATACTGATACGATTTAATCCTATAATCTCAGAAAACTAGCAGTTACTGTTTTCCAACAAGTCAGAAACGGCCCTATAATTTCCAGCTGAAGCCCTCCCAGCATTATTTACCATTTAGCAACATTCAACCATTCAACTCATTTAAATGGGCTGATTTCAGATGACACTGAACCCCTCATTGCTAGCAGAAACTTCAGCTATTTTCACTGAATCTGTCTCCTTGGCTGCCGGTGATGGCTTCATTTCAAAGTTAATTCTGTATAATTCAACCAAACCAGGAGTCTTAAATTAACAGTAAAACTGTTTCTCCAGCCTACAAAATAATTAATTGGGCTAATAATTTTTGAGCTCTGGTGGTTTATTCGATTATTTTTCAGTTTAGGTGAACTTTGAATTAAAGTCAGCAGCAGCACCAGAGGAAACCAAGAATGTTTGTGCCTGAGAAATTGTGTTAATTGTGGCTTTCTATTAGCTAGTGCTAAGGGTACTATGAATGCCAACAAAACCCTACTACAATGTCCTCAGGTACTCTCATCCAGCTGTCATTAATGTAA